ATTGTCAAATTACGCGCTCTTTACGCATCTAGGCGGGCACGCGCAACGTCGTTGGCCGACGGGCCAGGATATCTATATACGTTCGTCGATCGCGGTCGCTATTGGAAGCTGGGAATGACTTCCAACTTCGAACGCCGGAAAGCACAGTGGGACAACGAGTGTCCATGCGCGCATAGGCGGTGGTTGCCCCCGATACGGGTTACGAGAAGACGAAGAGCCGGTAAGTGTTTCGACTACTCATTTTGTGTACGTTCATTGCGTTCAGAATCACTAGCACACCTTCTACTGGAGATGAGGTCCATGGATAGGCCCAAACGCTATTGCGCTCATTGTACGTATATAATTCGTTGTGTTCACTCGTCTGACATCGACTTTGGCCCAGGTCGACGAACTCACATCGAAATCTTCGTATTTCGCGGTAATTGGAACAGGACGTGGCGAATCGTCATTCGACCACTGCTTCTGCGGGTTGCTGTACAGGTAAGTAGCTCTCTTCCTAGTATATGTGATATAACTGACATTCCAATGATTATAGTAGTGTCAAATTGTATATACATTAAATAGTAATCAGCACATAAATCTCAAGACCAAATTCTGAATGGTTTATGAACCTAAAAGATACGTAGAATAACATACATGCGCGACCCATCCACTAACACCATCTGATATAGATGTTTTCGCGATTGGACGCTCACACCGACGTGTCCCGACATCCCGACGTTAGCGACAATATTGACATCCAAATGTCTCGACCTCAGTGATGTCCAGACATTCGGATGTCTCGACCTCAGTGATGTCTAGACATCTGGATGTCTCGATGTCAGGTACGCATAATCTCGGCGAGAATATTTTGAAGAATCTCTTGGATTACATGAGGCGAATACAACGTGAATATTGAGCCTTTCCTGGGCAGGAATATCGACCGAATAATTATAAAAGCGTTCGATTTTGATTATCATTTTCCTTCATAGATTATGTTGAACTAATTTAGAATAAACTGCACTAGAAATTTCTTTAAAACCTACGTATACATTTTAATTCATTTCTCATTAATCTTAATGAAGACGTTTAATAAAATTTCGCACTATATTCTTTCTAAAATACTATTGTGATTATGTTGAAATTATATATATTAATCGGCCTCTGAATACATTAGACATTTTGTACTAAAGCTCACTATAATATCATGCTTTTCACCGCGGGAAAACGGTACAATCCCCGCAGTGTATCGTGGCACCCTCAGCCAAGGAAGCCCACGACAACAGTCTGAGTTGTTGCAGAAGCCGACGAAGAGAGAAGGGTCCTCAGTCTTGTCTCTATCTACTATCAGCCTCATTGCTTTTTGCTCGCCCTAGAAGTACAATAACACAACATGTCTTCAGCAACCTCTGCGAGCGGCAGCGCCTCGTCTGGATCATCCTCCGCCTCCAAAACCTCTTCGATTCCACAATCTGCTCCAGCTGGTCTTTTATCCATGACCCAACCTCCACAAGCATCCACCTCTTTCTTCAAAATTGCCTCGGGAGAAGTCGTGACCTTTGCTTGGTCTTTTTCCGGTGTTCTTGCTACTCCCACATCGCTCACCGTTAACGCTGTTGGAGCGAATTCTTTTACATATTCTCTGACGAGTCTCCCCGGAACCGCGTCCAGCTACATATGGACACCGTATGACTATCAGCAAAGTCATTTAGCTACCCCGTTGGCACAGACTACATACTCTCTACAGATCTTTGATGAGAGAGGTCTGGGTGCAACGACAAGACCAGGATATCTGAGTCCAAACACGGCATTGACGTTCGCCTTGTACACGCCGCAGCCTTACACACCGCTTGCCAGTGTGTCTATTTTTATTCTGGTCTAGATTCCCACTGATCTGGTTCTTTCATAGGTTGGGATTGTACAGTGTGTAGTGGTTCAAATACATCGTATACTGCACATCCGGCGTCCATTGCACTCATCGCCACTTTTCTCGTCATGTTTCTATCGGGTTTTGGGCTGCTCAGGAACGCCGTGGCTTATACGAGACGATAGATTATCAAGATGAACTTTCGTGGAAGAGAGGTGGCTTGCATTCGCATTTGGTTGGACTCGCACGGATTCGCTATTTGATTGACTGACACTGTTATGTTATTGGACTGTATGAACTTATGAACTACTATAGCTGATGCATCCGCTTTACTTTCCTTCGTTATCTGCCTTTATCCCGGTCTTTACCCTCCGTCCAGGCATCATTCTTCCATCTCACGGTATTCCCTGATTCCTTACTCCTTACAGTACTCCGTAATGTTTTCATACTCATTAGATGTTGCAAGACACTAAAGATGTCGCATGAGTGCCTTGATACTGATCAGCAGGGCTCATCTTTTGCTCTTCCCGTTCTAAATAAAAACTGCCGTGTTACATACTATTATCAAGAATTTCGTTAGTGTTTGCTGAACCATGTCTCTCTCAAGACACAGTGAGTTCTCGGTTCGTCCTTTGTTGACCTTTGAACCTGACCATAGCTACTAGTCGACGCTGAGGAAGTAATCCAGAAATCTAAAGACGCTCCTCGTACCCAGGCGTACCGTCAGACTCATGAACGTCGATCAGTTCATCAGTCCTGGAGCCGCGATGAAGACGCCCAAGGTGTCCCAAAATATTCTATGCCTGAAGTTGGGATTCCATCCAAAGCCGCCTACCAGCTCCTTCACGATGAGACTCAACTGGACGGAAACCCTCTGCTTAACCTTGCGTCGTCAGTCTTCTCGTTTTCATACCTGTGCGTCAATCACTCTGAAAATGGATGATGCTTCAACGCAGATTCGTGCACACCTGGATGCCGGAGGAAGCAAATAAGTAACGAGTTTTCCATATTCGTTGCACCACGGATATCGATATCTAACACGATTTCATTCCAGACTCATCATGGAGAATATCAACAAAAATCAAGTTGATATGGATGAATACCCTGCTGCGACAATCATACACAATCGTTGTATCTCGATGAGTATGTGTATCTTCATCGTTCCAAATTATCGGTGTCGATAATCAGAAGTATTTCTGCAATGAATGATAGTTGCTTCCTTGTGGAAAGCCCCGTCCGTAGGCAAAGTCATTGGAACCTCCACTGCGGGCTCATCAGAGGCGATCATGCTGGGGGGTCTTGCGATGAAGAAACGCTGGCAAGAGGCCCGTAAAGCTGCCGGAAAGGACCACTATCAACCCAATATAGTTTTCGGGTCCAACGCTCAAGTCGCTTTGGAGAAGTTTGCGCGGTAAGTGGATTGATTTCTTGTATTCCAATCGCAGAATGATTGGAACTTACTGATGAATATGTAGATATTTTGACGTTGAATGTCGACTCGTACCTGTTAAAGCTAGTAACAACTACGTGATGGATCCAAAGGATGCGATACAGTTTATTGACGAAAATACTATTGGAGTGATGGTTATATTGGGCTCGACATATACTGGACACTTCGAGAACGTAGCGGAGATGAGCGACCTACGTGAGTGCCCGATTCTTCTACTAGTATCGACTCAACCATCAGTCTCATGATCAACATTCATCCAGTTGATGAACTTCAAGAGAAGACGGGACTAGATATTCCAATTCATGTCGACGGCGCATCCGGTGCATTCGTCGCTCCATTTGCTTTCCCGTCCTTGAAATGGGGCTTCGATATCCCCCGTGTGGTTTCTATCAACACCTCTGGACACAAATTTGGGCTTGTCTATGCTGGAATCGGCTGGGTACTATGGCGAGATGAATCTTTTTTGAACAAAGATCTTGTCTTCGAGCTTCGTGCGTATAGATCTTTTAGTGAACTAATGAATCGCTGCTAACAATCCGATGTATTAGATTACCTCGGTAGTGTTGAGTATTCCTTCACACTGTAGGTCTGGATCATCCAGCCGCTTTTCAATCACTTAAGCATACCACAGGAACTTCTCAAAGCCCGCCTCACCTATCATTGCTCAAATGTTTAATTTCCTCAATCTTGGTTTTGAAGGATATCGTAAAATTGCGATCAAGGACTTGCGCAATGCCAGATTGCTTTCCAGAGCTTTGGAAAATACGTACTTCAAGGTCCGTTGAAATTGACTACAATTCGATGTAATCTGTTAATCCGTGCCGTCAGATATTGAGTAACATTCATCGTGTTTTACCTGGGCGAGATGAAGATGACGATCCGGAATCGTATGAACCAGGCTTGCCTGTTGTGTCATTCAAGTAAGGTGTCGACATCTTCGGAGATGAACGCTCATGTCTCTTGTCCAGGTTATCGGATGATTTCAAAGAAAAATATCCGCACGTTCAGCAAGTTTGGATTCAGGTATGTGGAAGAAGCTACCGCGTGGAATGTGTCAATCCGAAGTCGAATCTCATATTAACACCCAATCTCTAGTCTATGCTTAGGACAAAAGGCTGGATCGTACCCAATTATAACGTGCGGGATAAGTGTTTCTGAAGTCGTGTCGACATGACTCGTCTGATACTTTCTTTACCAGGGACCTGAAGGAGAAAAAGACACTGAGATGCTGCGCGTCGTAGGTAAGAATGCTTATGTTCAACATGTCTACCTAAATTTCATGCTTCAGTATAGTGCGCGAGACGTTGAGCGAGGACTTGACTGAACGACTGATTGCTGATATCATCGACACTACTGAGTCAATGATGTGTACGTCCACTCTTGATCCTGAAAATGTTTACCACGACTGAGTACCTCCTACTAGCTGAATCTGGTAGCCAAATTTTGCTAGCCTCCAGTCAGGCTTCGCACCAAGCTGACAGGGAACATGGTCGACCCGACAAGACTAACTTTGGTGATACTGCGGATGATGCACAGAAACAAGCTGGGTTTTCAAGGCAATGTTGATTTTCCGAATGTTGTCAAAGACCCAATGTACCATAAGTATGCACGTTGTACTACGTTGTACATAAGTACCACTCGCTGAATCAACAATTTCTTTCAAGTGGGTCAAATACTATATTCAATGTGTAGTCCATAATGCAAGGTCCAATAGTGTAGAGGTTATCACACAGGATTCTGAAAAAGGAATTCCTGTGACCCAGGTTCGAGTCCTGGTTGGACCTATGTCAAGGCAATTGATTATTTTTTCCCCTAAGTTTCTTTTTTTACTATGTAAGTTGTTTCTATGAATTATGAAGTTGTTAATCATGAAGTTATTATGTAAAACTATTTGTTAAGGCCCTGATCGGCTGCAACGGAAAACGGTGCGGGTTTTTGACGGGTACAGCCAAAAATACCCAGATCCGGGAAATGACGTAAGATCAGCGGGAAAAGCGAAAATTTCCGTGAAACTGGCGATCGGCAAAACACTCAGAGTCTGGCTGGGTCTGGGCGGCAATCAAAATAGTTCACTGACTCAGCAAAGGTGGAAGCGCCTACACCAGCGCTGAAATATTTTGATTATCTTTATAAAGCTAATCAAGAGCATCACATGACTACCGATAAACTATATATAAAAGTCACATGACTTTTAGGTGTTATTTCTGCTCAGCAAATTTATTAAAAAATGTACGCATCAAAACAGCGGCAAAGTCCGGTACTCGGGCCGTGACAACAAACCCGTTGTAAAACCTGAGTCAGGATTTGATGGGAACCAAACCCGGAAACCGTTTTCCTGCACCGTTTTCCGTTGCAGCCGATCAGGGCCTAAAGCGTGATGATGTCATATGAATTTGTCCTTGAATTTGAATCACGTAGTTTCTGTTTTGCCATAAGTATCTCGCTGTTTATTGATTCCCTTGCAATTAATTCTTCACAAATGACTAGCAAAGTTTCCTCAAACTACGATGTTTTTCTTTACTTCTTGGCAATGTGAGGGCAAGTTACATACCTGCTCACAATGCTTACAACTCGTCTGCAGATTACTGCCTCCGGTCTCGGTTTTATTGAGTGAGTTCCTGGTCATCAAGTGAATGAACTCTTCTGGAACTGAAGTTCTCCATTTGATGATTAGAGCGAGGTTGCGCAGCTGGTCAGTTTTTGTATCCATTTTCTTCTGTCTGCGGACTCAATCCATACTGTGCTTAGATTTTTGGATTAACATCTGTCTGAGTATTTTGGGATGGATTCCTGGAATTATTCACGCCTGGTAAAGCTACAGCTTATCTTCCGTTCGGATCCAAGTTAAGTGAAGCTAAAACACAGGTTTATCATCTCAAAGGCCGAGGGTGCAATGTGACGACCACACCCAGAAATATATCTATACCAACCATCCTTCGAAATGAATGTAGCTATGTACAGATGTGTATCAATATTTCCCCGATACAGACTCAGAACAATGTAATGACTCGTTGTATTTCTTCTATCTCCTGACAACTTTACTATGCATAGGAGTGGACTCTTTCCATTTAGGTATTGCTATAACCAGCTTTGACCACCTTTTTTTTTTTACTGATATGCTGATTCGTCGAATTCATGGACTCAGACCTTTACTCAACGATTCATCGTTTCGTAACAGTGTTCGTCGCTTCTTTTGCCTGCAGCCTCCTTCTAACTTCTATTCATTTGATGCCAACTTCAGGGCTTTCCAACGCCTGACCTCTTCTTAATATACAGCCTCGTTTTGATAAAGGCTACGCAGCAGCAGAGAACGAGCATTTTGTGGATGCACGACTGAAAGAAGGGATTAGAGATACATGCGGCAAAGGCAGTTGAGATGAATGTGCTTTTTCTGATCGATGTTCATGGCAATGAAGGCAAATAACTTCGGAAGGTGCATTTTTTTCATAAAGCTTTTTCTTTCATTTATTCAACTGCCTCTCAGTTTTCTTCTTATTGCCACCTTCGTCGGGCCTTTACATACGACCCTCGTCTTATGCCATTGTAAAAATCGTAAGAATTTCTCTGCCAGTGGCACTCTTCGCATACGTTGAATTGTTTCCTGGAACAATTAGGTGGCATGGCGTTTGGAAACGGATTACCCCCGGACTCAAGCATTGATCAAGAATTAGTAAATGACTACATAGTTGATAAATAATAAAGGCAGACGTGAATTTGACCAACTTCCTGTAAGATCGAACCTACAACCCGGGGACCGGCGTAAACCCCAGCTCTGGCCTCGTGCAAGAATTTCCTCAACAAAACGTGGAGGTACGTGGTCAATGACCCTCCCTTGACTCTTCGCCTGATAGTGTTCCTGTTCATCTTCGAAGCCTAGTAGCGAACAAGTTGTACAGGAGTGTACAGGTCATACTCGGACGAACGAGGGAGTCTAGATCCCACATGTAACCTGTGAAAGCGACGATCTTTGTTGCGTATCAAGCATGCGCTTTAGGAGGAACCGAAGCCCCCCCTTTGTTACATAGGAACGATCCAGACAGCTGCTATGAAGGCAGAAATTCAAACAGCACGCAATAACGTTTACAACACACACACGCCTCAAGTTCAACAGTAAAGCCATGCCATGTAGTTAGTTAATCATTGCGTACATACAGCAAAAGACCGAGGGATATGAATGAGCTGTGGGATCAACGTTAAACGCCACCAGCCTGTCGAGGCTAGGGCACGTTGAACCTGAAAGAAGTCGGCAATGGGCATGAGGGGTTCTGTCTGCGAAGTTTTCGTTTTCTTGTGGACTGAACAAATTCGTGTGGACCCCAGCGTGTGTGTGCGTCCCTTCTCCAACGGCCGTAAGTTTTCATCAGCGGACTCAGTGCGCAAAGCACGCAGAATACTTACAGCATATGTACGCGCTTTCGAGATTGACAATATCCTCCGTGCCGGTGTGTGGACCCCACGGCAGTGATATTTCGGTCGTACTTATAGCGGGTTCAGAGTTGCAGTGGAAATAAATAAATCTGCATTTCGTGGGGTCTGGCCATCATGGGGGCTAAACTGCCGCGGATGAAATTGAGGGCAACACGTATTATTAAGTGTTCTGTTGTTCCCTGGTTGTGACGTTCGTGCAGGAAAGGAGCCCATCTCTAAAGTTCGGGCTTTCGGACTTTACGTGTTACTAGTAAATGGCCACAATTGAGCGCTCGAGGCTCTTATCCCTACTTACTTCCATTGTGTTGCCGTCCGTTATGCAACTTTTCAGGTCCCAAATCAAGCAACGGAGAATGGTCAATTCTCCTGAATGTCTATCAATCAAACACAACAAATATCAGTTCGACATCTGCGAGATTCATGGAAGATAATGATTGTGAGAACGAAAGACATGATACCTATTACTTTGACTGTATCTGTATCAACAAAAGGTTCAAAACTAGCTGAGATGTCCATAATTGTTCAAAGATCCTCAAGTGTTGCGATGAATTGGAGCAAGGCGAGCACAATCTCCAACGAGTATGTTACGGCCGCCTGGGTTGTGTTATTCATTGAGAATCTATTTGTTATTGAAGCAATAAAATTAGATGGTACCGGTTAACCCAAGTGTAGTGTATGTCCGAGGTGAATACTATGAAGGAAGGAAAGTAATGTCAATGTGTACTCAAAGGAGAGTTCGAACGTAACCAGAAAAATGGGTAAAAAAAAAGTAAGCACAACGGGTGCATTTTTTGATAGACAGGGAGAAGCGCAAATATGAACGCGGGATAGGCTGGTAACACAGAAAGAGGATACACGGATGGGCAGGTATTATGGATGGGGGGACCGCTAGATCGGAAAGAGAGATGAGGACTAAAAGAGCGACGATACACAGAGTAAAAGAAATGAAAATGAGTGTTAATGGATGATGTGAGACGAACGAGCGTGATGAGTACATGAAAGAGATAGAGCGGAAACCGTCCATCCGCGATAGTAGCAAATTGTCACTCGACCTATGTCGTAGATTGGGCAATTCGTGGTGGAAGTGTGTTACAATGGATGATACAGAGATGGAGATTGAGTCGATAGAATCCCAAAAGATGTGTATAGCTTCCGCGATGAGTTCCTGTATCGGGTTTCCGAGGGCTTTTCAAGAGAGGAGGTCTGAACAATCAAACAAAAACCATGAGTGAATTGATCTTGACTGGATTATCAGCGGACTGACCGACAGTGTTCCTGAGTATGCCAAACAAAACCAGCAAGGACGAGCCTGGGCGCATTAAACGCTATAACCCAGTGCAAAGCACAATAGCTTGGCAGAGTACGAAGGAATGATGAAAACTGTACACGAATGGTCAAAGAATGTTGAGCAGCAAGCAAAAGGCATATGCAAAAAGTCAAAAGAATCTGTATCGAAGAAAAAGCTCGAGACGACGATAATAACACAACACAGCAAAAAAAAAACGGAGCAGTCAATTCTATGTATGCAAAAAAAAAATAATCAGATATATGATAGATGCAAATGAAATGGATGGAAATGCAAATGCAAATGCCTCAAAAGCAGCGAAGGAGGGAAAGAAATGAGCGGGCAGACCACAATCAAGATTGGATCCAGCTTAGCGCAACACTTCCAGCACCTTTAATGAAGACGTTAGCTTGTACACGACAAACCTATCCAAAACGCCCGAATCAGTACTTCAACATTGCACAAAGAAGCAAAGAAAGAATTACCATATCATTAACACTTTTACTTCTCCAGTCAACAACTAGATTCCCATTGTCCCGCCTCTCAAACTTTTTCAACTCTCCAAAACTCTCGCACCAATTTTTGACTGCCTGATAAGCGCGAGTATCGTTAATCTCTATTCCACTTATCACCAATTTACGCTTTTTGCCTCGAGCTGTCCCTATAGTAGGAGACCGTATGCCACTAATGTTACCAATAGACACGGTACCAAGGGTAAGCCCAAGGGATCGACGTTTCTTTTTAGCGAGCGATTGACGTTCAGGAGAGGAATTGGTAGTGGAGTTAGTCGAGTCGGTAGTAGATGAGCTAAATGCAGAAGACAAGGTGCCAATGGTGCCACTTCTTTCCCTCCGAGTAGGAATTGCTTCTCCGTTGACCTCATCAAGCAATACGCTTGGTGAGACAAAAGAGCTTCGCATTGCAGAGTCGGCAGGGGTCAAAGTCCTGTCTGGCTCAGCCATACTAACAACAGTAGTGCAATCATCCTTAGCGAACGGATCAGAAACAATTTGCCCCAACTCATCGACTTTCAGCGGTGGAACGGGAGGGATAGATTCTGGAGAGACGGGA